AATGTACTGGAAACATGCCATCACATCCACATAGTTTCCTGCTTGTTTACGGTACTTTTTTTTTTATCTTTAACTTTACTACTAGTTTTTGTTAGTACACGATAATGTAATTCTTATTTTTTTCTAGTGTGATTAAAAATACGAACGCTGCACATTTGCAGAGAGACGTTTTTCTCTTTCATAAAAAATAATTTCACCCACTCCAAAGCATTAAGTTTCTTCAAATAATAATATCAATTCACTGTTGCAAATGAATTCACAATATGAAGCGTGGTAAAAATATCGATCGTTTAGATCTTTACTGTCATCATACGCGCATAGGCATTGTGAAGAAAAAGAAGTGTAGGGCCAACCATCTTTTACTTCCTCGTTCTCTTTCCATTGCCAGCAGAAACAGTCAGTACCTGTTTTTACGGATGGACAGACAGAGCCACCGTTAGACGGATGGATGAGAAAATAAACGTGTGGCCAGTTTTATTTTACGATACCTCATATTGTGAATATTCTTTTTTAAAATAAAAAATATCTTTCACTGACGAGAGTAATAATTGCTTTCTTGAAATTTCACAGACGAAAAGACAATGTCCATCAAAAAAAGAAGAAGAAACAGAAAACTAAAAAGATGATAAAAATAAGTTATTGACACCTTTAACTGATTAATTTTGCCTTTTTTTCCATTTGCTAGAGATTTTCCTTTGGGGCAGTGCGGTCTAAAAATCGGAAAGTGTCGTTCTCGTGGTGTACGATTTTCGAATTTGGACACTTCAATTTTACTTGATGTTTTTTTTCCCTTTCTTTTCTCATCTGTCTTCAAATCTTTGAGTCTAAAAATATTTTTCTAGCAATAAATTCTAAAACGGTAAAATACTTTTTTTATTTACTTACGTGGCAAAAATGTATTTGAATAAGTGAATAATCCTTTGTTTTTCCGTTTTTTTTTTTCATAATCTCTTTAAACCCCAAACAAACTTAGCTTTTATTTCACGGCCACACTGTTCATTGCAAAACAGAAGGAAAAAAATCGGTCGTTAAAAAAAAAAAAAAAAAACGGCAAAAAACTAAACCTGTATTTGATTTTCTCTAAAAAGTGTTTTTTTTTTTTTTTAACAGTGATAATAAAAAATGCATGCATAATTCAAACTCAGTCTTTAATTTTAAATAGGTTAATATTTAACCGCGTGACTTAACTAGGAATTTACGAACGAGACAAACAATTCTTGGACTGAAGTCAGTCTTCTTAATTTCTTATGAAACTACCCTACACTGCACACGCTCTCGTTAGGTTAAACGGGGAAAACAGGCGTGGAAAGTTTTTTCTTATATTTCCTGAAATATGAGACTAAAATAATAATAATATAAAAAAATAATGATTGCGATGATGATCACTATCAGAGTAGGGGTGCTGTATGTGTGTATGTCTTTAATTGATAATGAACACAATTAGATTGATTTGTTGGATGGATGTTAGTCAAATCGTACGTAATAAGGTTTGTAAAAGAAAACGTTGGGTTGACAAGTGCATGAAAGAAAAAATAATGCATTCCATTATGTATATAGTCATCTATCTATCTATCTATCTATCTATCTTATTTTGTTAATTTAATCATCTACCTATCTCATTTTGTTAATCATCTATCTATCTATCTATCTCATTCTGTTAATTATCTATCTCTCTTTCTTTCAACTATTTATCTATCTCATTCTGTTAAGTTAATTATCTATCTCATTCTGTTGTTAACTATCACATTCTGTTATCTATCTATCTATCTATCTATCTATCTATCTATCTATCTATCTATCTATCTTGTTTTTGGAGACAGAGATGATTATTCTGAGTTCTAACAGTAAACAATATCTTTATTGCTATTGTCGGTCCTGGAGTAATAATAGAGAGTTGTTATTTTATTTATAGCAGAATACGTCGAGAAATAAATGGCAGTGGTCGTTGCTACATCAATAGGAATATTTTTTTTTTTTTCCTTTTCATGGTGTTCTTTTCTTAGATTTTCTTTTTTACTCACTATATATATATACATATATATATATATATATATATATATATATATATATATATATATATATATATATATATATATATATATTTTTTTTTTTTTGTAAAGAATCAAATAAGCTCCGATGCTAAATACGATACAAACGGCATTGGAATAAATTCATTCTTCTCAGACATCTCGCCAAACGTAACTAACCAACACCCCGTCTTCACCCAATGCACGACTCAATCCGCCACCAACCTAGACAATACTCAGTGAAAACCGAAAAGTATGGTCTTTCCGTTTTCAGTGCCAGGCACAGATCAGATTTGTTATTCGAAACTTATTTATTTTTATTTGATTATTTTTTTTTTAAACTCTATGCTTTCGCAGTCCCTCTCTAGTACGACTGGAAAGAAACAAAGTTTACGTTTTTCCTTTTCTTAAATAAAATTAAGTAAGGGCCGGTGCAAGGGTCTAGTGGGCCCCTATCGAATTTATGATACGCCCAACTCTATTACATTTCAATTTTCATAAGGTAGTATGCATATAAAATATAAATTTTATTGTAACTTAATTATGTACAATAATGGATCATATGCAATATACGTGAACAATTTAAAATTGAAAATAAATACAGTGTAAAATACAAATTAGAGAGATGTATAGATCATTTCATTTTTTTAATCGAATTTACTTCGTGCAAGGCAATAAAGCCACTAAGACACATGGGATTACTGGGTGTGAAAAAAATTAAAAAACAAACATTATTAAGAGCGAGAACAGTAGAAAAGTAATCAGGAAGACAATAGACAACGATTGACACTGTCAACAATGTTTTGCGGTAATTTTTAACATCATCTTGAGATTTTTCTTTTTAAAAAGTTCAACAATTTTAACGCATTCAACATTATGGAAAAAAAAATAGTGAATTTTATAGTGTTTTTTCGAGACTTGAGCAAAATAAATTCATGAACAAAAACAAAAAAACAAAAATTGAAATCAAAATCCGCGAAAATGTTTCATCCTTTAATAATAGTCACTTGTCTTTAGTTTAATTTGTAACGGATAAAAAATTAGTTGGGAAAAAGCAAATGTTGATAAGATTTGTAGAATTACAAAGCACGGGGACCCCTAATGAAGTCTTACCGCTCGCCCCTGTTAGCGGTAGTTGGGGGTAGTACGCACCGGCCCTGCCTACAGTTCATCTTGTCTTGTGTAAGCTAACAGCACATCTTGTAAAATAAATAAATGTCCTACGCCACCTTTACTCAAATGATTTCTAAACTTTATTTAGAATATAAAAGTTTGTGAGTCTCCGCTTCAAAAGTAACAGGCTTTTTTGTTGTAACACATACCAATAAAAAAAAAAGAAGAAAAAACCCTGTTTTTTTTTGTTGTTGTTGTTGTTTTTTGTAGTTGGTTTTGTTGTTGTTTTTTCAGTCATGTTTTCTATCCAATACAAAACTCTTTTCATAGACGTTATCGGTCTAGAACTTTTGAAATCAGTCTCCATCACATAGACACACACATAGACATTTAGGCGGACACGACTCAAGAAAAACATGGTCGTGCCGTACATCTACAAAAATCCCAGTGATGCACACACTTTTTCAACATTATATTGTATTAGTTATGTTACTATTTATATAGTATTTTATATACTATTTAGTATTATATATACTATTTTATATACTATTTTATATACTAAGTGGTGTCTAGGACGCATTTATGAAAAAGAAAGAATATCCCTATAATCACCCTGCGTTCTATACACGAAGCTGAGAATCACCTTTTCTCGCATCAACTTTAGTGTATTTTTCCCGCTGAAATTAATTTTATTTTTATGTTTGTGAATGTGCGTCCTTTACAATCGAAGCATGTCATACAACTGCTACAGTTATCGAAAATTTGGATTCCATTGTCCAATAAACTTCCTTTTCTATCGTACAATACACGAAACGGCGTACACATTGACCCTTTGGGGTCAATAAATGCTGACACATCTAACTATAAGCGTTATAGAGGCGTGAGTAACTTTGAAATGAAGCAAAGTAGATATATATTTTTAGTGAATGAAACGTTACAGGCCTGTTTCTTTTTTGTTTTGTTTTTTAGAAATTATTTATCTTCATACCACGCTCTTTGTAGTTTAAAAAAAGTGTGTTAATTCACACATTTAAAAAGCAGCGTGTTCATATAGCCACTTCTGCTTTTGTTTGTAAAGACCAAAGAGTCATTCTTTCTCTCTCTCTCTATCTATCTATCTATCTATCTATCTATCTATCTATCTATCTATCTATCTATCTATTTATCTATCTATCTCGCATACACACGCACACTATCTCCCTCCTCCCTCTCTCTGTTGATTAATGTGTACAATTTGTAGTATTTAACTTTTTATATGAACTTTGGTTCATACGTTAAAGCAGAAACACGCACGGATACACAGTAATATTCAGATTATTACATTCGTTATGAGTATGACATAGCCACCTCGACTGAGGAATTGGTGAGTGACTTAGTCTAGCAGACCATTACGTCCGTGTACTGTACTGAGTTCAATCCTCATTGGACGCCTTACACTTGTGGCCCTGGGCTAGACAAAGCTCAGTTTAGTAAATAGTAGTAAATACATAGAATGGAGTTGTTATTCATTTAGAGAAGTATGTACATAAATAGACTTATAGCAAGATGGACTGACACAATGGAAATAGAAAGGAAAGAAGGAAGAAAGAAAGATAGAAAGAAATACAATGATATATGAGTCTGTATTTAAGCTTTTCATACATATATACACATATATTTATAGTGAACAATATATTATTGTTTATATATTTATATTATATCTCCCACATATGTAATAGTTAGCATAAAGATAACTTTGGCTTATCTATCTATCTATCTATCTATCTATCTATCTATCTATCTATTTATCTATTTATCTATCTATCTATCTATCTATCTATCTATCAGAGCACGCAATTTCAAAGAGAAGTACGAATATTGTCAGGAAATGATGGGAACAAACTGAGATAGATAGATAGATAGATAGATAGATAGATAGATATGAAAAGGTGAAGAGATAGATAGATAGATAGATAGATAGATAGGAAGGAAGGAAGGAAGGAAGGAAAGAAGGAAGGAAAAGACTTCGATGGATATGAATAGACTGAGATAGATAGATAGATAGATAGATAGATAGATAGATAGATAGATAGATAGATAGATAGATATGAAAAGGCGAAGAGATAGATAGATAGGAAGGAAGGAAGGAAGGAAGGAAGGAAGGAAGGAAGGAAGGAAAAGACTTCGATGGATATGAATAGACTGAGATAGATAGATAGATAGATAGATAGATAGATAGATAGATAGATAGATAGATATGAAAAGGCGAAGAGATAGATTGGAAGGAAGGAAGGAAGGAAGGAAGGAAGGAAGGAAGGAAGGAAGGAAGGAAGGAAGGAAAAGACTTCGATGGATATGAATAGATAGATAGATAGATAGATAGATAGATAGATAGATAGATAGATAGATAGATAGATAGATTGAGTTGAGATACAATATTATAAAGAAAGATTCACGAACCGAAAGAAAGATACAAATTGTTAGACATAACTTTAGCCAGCATGTGTAAATACGGTCTGAAAGGTTGTCCTCATATTTCAAAATATAATGAATAACAGCTTCTATAGTGATTTGCTAGGCGTAGCTAAGATGTGGCACAAGTCCGCAAGTATGGAGCACCCAATGCGGATCGAATTCAGTTGTAATTGTACGTATCGTTATATCACCGATTCACACACGCCCATACTTACACACTTACACTTAGACCCTCTCAGACGCAGACCCTTCCCACACACGCACACGCACACATCATCATCATCATCATCATCATCATCATCATCATCATCATCATCATCCACAGCAGAGTTCACGCGACAAATGAAATCACCCTTATGACGAAAAATTGTAGTGTCGACTGTAGATTGAGTTTAAAAATAACCCAACCTTATTATGTTTGAAATTAATCGAATTACAAAAAAAAAAAAAAATAAAAAAAATAAAAATAAAAAAAGGAGGAGGAATTAACAAACAGGATCATTTATCTATGTTACATAAAAATAACATTAAAAGGTTGAAAAAAGTATTCAATAAATAAACATCGATATTGTTGAATTGCATAGCTTTAAAACGTGAACGAAGCGATTATGGGATCAACAATGAGAAACCACATGCAACGGGCACTTGTAAATATAGACTATTGTCTTTGTTTACGATAACGTTCCAAAATTCTTCTTTGTGTAGTAAAGTAAAAACTATATGAATTTTAATCAGGATTTCAACTTTATAAATTGGTTTCAAAAAGTAATTGTTTTGGTCACTAGTAAAATATTTCTATTTTCTCCAATTTAATGATGACAACAACAATTATATTTACATTTAGAGATCGTCAAATATTTTTAGTTTATATTTCGCTTTAATCTTAAATTTAAATGTCGTAAGTTGCTAAATAATTCTAGTTAAAAATGTAAAAGTAAATTTAAAAATGCGTTCTTTGTTTCTAAGCAAAATGAAAAAAAAAAACAAAAAAAAAAAACGTTAGTGACTGGGAAGGGTAACAAACAAAGGAGTTCATCACTTGTTTATACGCAATAGGCTCCCCCGTTCCTCAATACTGAATTGGTTTTCGTGGTGTAAATAAAATAAAAGATTTAAAAATTATATAACATTTAGTTTATAGAAATATAGGTTGTATTTTTATTTATTATTATTTTCATTTATAAGTGAAATATTCTCAATTTCAGACAACTAGCCATGTGGTTAAGCTATCTTCCTTATTATGAGGCTGGCTGGCGTCGACAGAACATGATAGAGATGATAAAAAAAGATTTAAGTAACAGACAGATAGATAGATAGATAGATAGATAGATAGATAGATAGATAGATAGATAGATAGATAGATCATGATTTAAGGACTAAAATGAAAAGTGACAGCTAAAAAACAGTGTACAAAGGTAAAGTTTTATTCTCATGATAGAAAGACAACACTAGTTTAAGTGGAAGAGGGTTGGGTACAGTTAAGAATGACAGCTACAATAGATAGATAGATAGATAGATAGATAGATAGATAGAAGAAAGAAAGAAAGAAAGAAAGAAAGAAAGAAAGAAAGAAAGAAAGAAAGAGCACATATATAATGAATACAGTAGTGTAAGAGAAGTCATTTTACGACCTTTTCTCCGTTAAGTATTGAAATATACACAATTCCAATACCACGTTTTGGGAATGCAGAGCATGGGAAATCACACGCTGTTTCAGGCGTGTTGTTTGACTACATCAATCTTTGACAACCATTGAAAAAAAAAAAAAAAAAAAAAAAAGTCTTTATTCCTTCCCGATCATATTCGTTAATGAACTGAAACGTTATTATTTAAAATAAATTAAAATCAAAACAGCTAAATAAATAAACACGTTTTTTCTTCTTTTTATTCATTTTTTTTAGGAGACTGCCACGGGTATTATTTTGTTTATTCCTAGATCAAAGATTATTAAAATTCACTTACCTGAAGTAAAGTTGACCAAGAATATAGCCAACAAGATTAATGTCCAAAATGTATTTAAATTTCCAAACATTGTCCGCCGGGGTTTCGGGTAAAGTATAATAAGCCGGTGTAAAGGTCCAGTGGTAATCGTGATGTTTTCTTCATCTTCCGCAGTTTCGGTGTCTTTTAGTGGTCCAAGACAACTCCTGACATTATTACTATTATTCGGGGTACTATCCATCAGGGTACCATCGCTGTTACTTTCTCCTAGTCTGAGTGTTTTGCTGTTTACAGGGACGTACATGGCTATAGTCCTGCCACAGAGCGACCCGTATTATTTGGGAGAACATACACCTCTGTTGTTCCCACCTTTTATATTCTTGACTTTTTTTTTCTTCTCCGTGGAAGGATATGCTTTTTTGTTTTATTTTTTAAATTTTAAAACCAAAAAGAAATATCAGAACTCAGTAATATGCTCCAGGGTAAAGTGTACAAATATCCCAAGGGTTAATCAATAAAAAAAAAAATAATCACAACTGGGAATAACGGTAGGGCGCGTCGATGTTAGGCTCGGATGGAGAGTGACAGAGAAGAAGAGAAAGAGGAAGATAATCAACTAGAGAGAGAAAGAGAGATAGAGAAGAAAGTCCTCGTCGAGTGATGATGAAGAAAGATGGTTGTTAGGGGGAGGGGCTTGGTTAACACTGATGTGTGTTTCAGGCGTGGAGTATTGGTAGTTGGGTGGGTGTAGTGGAGAGTTGGAACTGAGTAAAGAGAGTCGAGGGTAAGGAACAAAAGAAAGAGTGACTCCTTAAAAAAAAACCCTTCCTAGAAAAAACGACCACGATGGTTTTGGCTGCAGGGTCGAAAGTCGGCAGGAAGATGAAGATAAAATATAACTAGGTGGAGAGAGCCGAAATGAAAATAAATGTAATTGTTTTTGTTGATATTTAATGGAAAATAAACGAAATTATATATATATATATATATATATATATATATATATATAAGAGAGAGCGCAAGATATAAAAATGTAATATATATTTATATATATATATATATATATATATATGTGTGTGTGTGTGTGTGTGTGTGTGTGTGTGTGTGTATACTTTGGGGAGAGTAAGGGACGTAGCTGTAGGAAAATAAGAGTTTGAATAAGAGTGTGTGCGTGTGTGTGTTGTGACTGGCTGCTGCGTGTTCTGTGTGATGCTGCTGCTGTTTCTTCCACGGCTGACGGTAATGTTCTGTATGTGTGATCAGAGAGAGAGAGAGAGAGAGAGAGAGAGAAGAGCGTAAACGAGCTAGACAAATCGACAGTGAGAGAATGGTAGAAAGAGAAAGTGCCAGTGAGTGAGGAACTGACGCGAGGGTCTTGTGAAGATGAGATTTCTGCCGTCGTAAGGATGTGCACCGGTTGTGACGGTAGTGATGTTGATTATTAAGAGGAAATGTTGAACACGAACAAAACACGAGGCGAACGAGACGAGAATTGTTTTACGGCGGTGAAGGGCCTTCTATCTTCTACTTTTTGAAGTGTAAGCTTGTATAGTATATAACTGGATGCTAAATGGAAGACGGTTTAGCGCCAGAGTTATGGCAATGGAGAGAAAACCCAATACAACTAGTCGGAACAACGCAATGACACTTTTCATCCATTTTTTTTTTTTTTGTCTATCCCTTTATATTTCTCGGAACGCAACCAAATTACATATGACTGCGTGTGTGCAGATGTGTGAAGAACGCGCATCGTACAAATCAGAACCACAATCTAAATATGTGTGTGCTTATGTATTTACACACACACACATGCATACATATATATGTGCAAAACACATTAAAAGAACATCAGTGTGTGTACACAAAACCCGATATGGCGCATGGCCGGCTAAATGTAGGCTACATTTTTGTACACACACACACACACATATATACAAAACTCAACATTAAAAGAACTCGCACAATCCTCGATATATTTACTAAAGAAAGCCTAATACGGCGCATGGTATATACAACAGCACACAACATAAAATTATGTGTGTGCGTGTGATGTGCATTTGGTCTGTCATAGGCATGATGTTATTTAATAGAATGTGGGAGGTTTATTTATTTATTTTTAAATTTTGCCCCACCTTCCCAACTTATTAAGACCACATCGTTTATTAATTTCTTACTTTTGAATCATTCAAATGAATTTTCCGATTCCCACTGTTTATTGCTTATTGAAAAAAATTCTGACGACTGCCAACCCCCGATTATTAAAACCCCCTCCTTTTATGAGACATCTAAGAGGAGGCAATTTTGTTTTCTTATTAACTGGCCTTTTTTAGAAGGGAGGAGAGGATGTGATTGAATTAGGGCCGGTGCTAGGGTACCCCCCTCTCGAAACCTTAATATGGCTCCCCTCTCTACTAAATATCGATTTCAAAGTTTCCAATACTGGGGGTGGGGCCACAAACTCTCGA